TTTTGTATTTTCCGTTCTTACGGTCATTACTTGTGGTTCCAGAACAAAGAAGTTTACCTTCAATGTCAACGCGCCTGCTTTCAAACCTCGCAGTGCACAAGCTCAAATAGCTCAGCAAGTCGGTCCTCCTCCAGGTGGACCATCACAAGCCATGATGGGCGCAGTTCCTATGGTACCGGCTGGAGTACCGATTCAGGTCAGTTCTTACGACTATTTTCCTTTATAAACAAACTGATAAACAATCTTTATTTTTTGAACTTGTCATCTTTACTTTTGTATTCTTTAAGATTGCTAGAGTACGGAAGGAAAAGGGAAAATAACCTATAGAAACAATTTAGTTCTCTTTAGACTGCCATGCCACCACCTGGAATGCTTCCCACTATGCAGACTGGTCAACCACCTGTTTTAGTACAATGGCAGGGAGCTCCGGGTCAGCAGGCATATCAAGTGAGATTCTCGTTCAAGCCTGTAGATTTTGTATGATAGTGTTTCATGGCTGTTTGAATTTGCAGATGCCTGGCTATCAATATGTGGTAACTGGTGGTCAACCAGTGAGCATGATGCCAAGCCAGCCGATGACAATGGGTGGACCTCGTCCTGGTGGTCCGCCGGCAGTAGCATTTCCGCAGGGTAGTCGACGACCAGGTGGGAAAGACATTTTTGTGGACATTTTTGTGGAGAAACTTGGGCTATAACAGGGTATTCTAAATGTTCAGTTATGGTTCCACATACAGCAGCCCAGTGGCAACCACATGTGATGCAAGTTGGCCAAGGAATGGTTTGTGTTTCATTGATTTTCACGTCTCTATTGACCGTTATTCAAGAGTTTAGACATACCTTCAGGTTCCCTACGCCTACCAGTCCTTCTCCGTACAAGCCGGTGCATCTGGTGGAGGAAGTGCTGGTGTTGTACCGCCACCGCCTCCCCAAGGGGGTTTTGGTGGCCCACAAGCTCCTCCTCCACAAATGATGCCCGGTACCCCACAGGCGGGAGCTCCCCCGCCGGGTATATACCCGCAACGTTTTGTCCCTGCACAGGTAGTTTTCATAGATAGGAGAAAAGGTACTACGGTATATTTTCCCTTGGTTCTAGGGTTATGTACTACCGCAAGCTGGTGTACAAGGACAAACTCGATTCCCCACTCCACAGCAAACACCTCATCAAGGGATGGAAGCAGCCCATTTCCAAGGTGAGCCAGTCTCATAGTCCTTTTTGCATAATTTTCTTAAATTGTTTAACTTTCTTTTCCCTTCAATTTGAAGGAGCTAAGTAGGAGAAGTACACAAATACTAAATACATTCAACATTAAGAAGACTGTCAAGGGCCTACAAAATCACAAACTTGGTCATAAAAAGGGAGGAAGTTGGCGTAATCTACATTAATTTTAACCCCTTAAAGTATGCATCCCTAGAAGCGGTTGAGCGAAATCTCAGAATTCAACAACTACTGTGCTGGAGTAAAGTCATAAAGTTAATCTTTTCTCTTCAAGCTCAATACCTTTCTACTTTGTATCTTTTCTGAAAGCTTGATACATGTTGTATAGCAGTAAAGACGTTTTTTAGCTCAAGGAGCTCCAGGATCCGCTGCTGCATCAACTGGACCGAATAGCCAGCCTCCTACTCCGGGTCCTTCGCCAGCACAGGTAAATCCATGCCTATTCTCTCTTCTAGACTCTTTGACTTTACTTCGCATGTAGTTGTCGTACTCAATGTTAAACGTTGTAATGTCTCATACGATTCATTGGAAATGAATACTGTTATAGTTTAATCACCAATAAAATTCTTTTGGTATCACGAAGGAGATTAGCGCAATATTAGATAATTGTAGTAATTTGATAACAAGTTGGAAGCCGTCGTAACCTTTTTGTATTCGTTTCTTCCTATTCTATCAGATAGTGATTGTGTTTGATGTGGTAGGTATAGTAAGACATTATATTATACGCATGAAGCGCGCTGTATCACAGTCTGTCTCACTATTCTGCATGGACGGAACCCTTATCGCTCCAAATTGCATGTACAAGTAGCGTTGATAGTGGCACACATGAACAACAAGATCCTTCTTCATAAGATTCGCTATGATTGCATGAAAGGTTTCGTCATTTGCTGAACTGGTGGACTAGACTGTGTCTGCTGCAATTTTTGCGCTGATTTTGCGCCTTAGCGCTGATGATACTGCCCCGTGCTCGCATTCTCGTTGTCAATGTTGTGTGGTCACAGGGTGGACGCGGTGGTTCTCCT